CGAGGCCATCGTACGGTAGTCGGCCTGACCGAAGGAACGATGAACAAGGACTATGTTGTTCCCGACCTACTCAAGGACCGCACCCCAGAAGTGGTTTCGAGCACCCAGGAAAAAGTGTCAAAAGAGTGTCGAGACAGCGTCGCGACAGTGTCAGGCGAGTGTCTCCCAGGGCCCGGCACGTGAAAACCCTCGAATTTCGGTACTTTTTGGGGCGCTCGAAATTCTTCCTGGTGATCAAGGCTAAAGTAGGTTGGAGCATCCAAGGAACGGAGCCCCTTATTTTCCAAAGTAAGTCTAGGAAGTCCAACGTAGCACCAGGGGGACTCGCCGCCAGAAAGGTAGTGGGACGCATGCAAACCAAAGAAATGGCCGAGCCCCTTTTGAAAAGGAAGTGTTCCTTATTCAAGTCGGACCCTGTAAGGTTGGCGCAGGATCCCAAACGCAACCAGCATCGTGGCTGCGGCATCGCTGGCAGCGTGACTGATTCGGCATCAGCACGCGGGAGGTGCAGTACTCCGAATACGCGGATGGGAAGGCATCGTCGGCGCTGGAGGTCGCCGAGCCCGAGGAGGAGGCTGGCTGGGCGCTCGCCGACTCCTTGGCTGAGGGCCTCATGGAAGCCAGAGCTGCGGCTTGGGCCGCCAGGGTGCCGGAGGACGACACCGACCGCTGCGTGATGGCAGCGCGGACTGCTACGCCGCCGAGGCTCCCGCTCTCCCCCGCGCCGGAGGCCCCGACGAAGGGGAACATCGACTTCCTGGAGCGGGCGCAGCCGACGTCCGCCGTGACGAACAAGGAGAGCATGTTCAAGAAGTTTGAGGAGGCCCTCGATGACTGCGACCCAGCGGGCGAGGAGAGGGAGAAGGGGCATGGCGAGATTGAGGAGCCGGGTGTGTAGCACTTCTTCATTGGGGACGGATGCGACGAGGCCGACGGCATCAGTAAGACCGTCGAGTGGGAGACGAAGGGCTCGGATTGCGAGGAGTCCCAGGCGAAGAAGGACGTGGTAACCGTGGCCACCGTTTTGAAGGACCAGGTGCACGTGAAATCCGCGGCCGGTGCTGTGCGCTGGACGGACGCTCTGGACGAGGGCACTAGGCTGGTGCTGTCCGCGATCCTGGCGACGGACCCTGGTGCTGTCCGCGATCCCGGCTGGTGCTGCCCGCGATCCCGGCCGTAGGGTCGGTAGACACGGCCGCTGCCGGGGGCGTGCGCGCGCAGGCGCCGCAGGTGAAGGTCGCGAGTCCGAGGGCCACGGCCAGGGGGCAAGCTACGACGTGGTCGAGGAGAGCGTGCTCACGAACACGGCCGGTGCGGCAGACGCTGAAGGACACGGCCGATGAGAAGCCGCCGCGCGTGGGCTTTCGACCGAGGAGGCGGAGGCGAAGCGGCAACGCCTTGCGGCAGGCCCTGTAGAAGCCGAACGGAACTATGAGGCGCGCCGGTCCTAAGGCGGCGTGCGGCGCGCTTGCGAGGCCAGCTGGAAGGCTGGCGTGGACTACAGGAGGGGGATGTTCCTGTTGCCTGCGAAGGTGCGTCCTGTATCAGCTGAGCGTGGCCATGTCGTACTGGGGGCTTCTGTGCGCAGCATGGGCTGGCAGTGCTCGGTTGTTGGGGTGCATGTTCGAGGCCCTCGGGACTGGCCAACAGGATCCAAAGGATCCTCCTCCTCCTCCTCCTCCTCCTCCTCCTCCTCCTCCTCCTCCTCCTCCTCCTCCCCCCCTCCTCCTCCTCACCCCTCCTCCCCCCCCTTTCCTCCCCCTCCTCCTCATACCCCCTCCTCTTCCTCCTCCCCCTCCTCCTCTCCACCTCTTCCTCTCTTCCAGCTCCTCCACCTCGCCACCTCTTCCTCCTCCCTCTTTTCCTCCTCCTCCTCCTGCTCCACCCCTCCTGCTCATCCGGCTCATCCACCTTTCGCCTCCTCCACCTCCTCCTCCTCTCTCCTCCTCTCCTCCTCCTCCCGCCACCACCGCTGAGATGTCCCAACAGATCCTGCGGCGTTGGGCCTCGCTTTGAATCCGCAGCCGCCCGCGCCTCCTCCCGCCCCGACTCCCCCGTGCTCCCTCCTCCGCCCCCCGGGGCCTTTGCCCTCCGCCGATCGCCAGGCCAAGAGGCCGATATCAGGCCACTGGCGGCGTTCAAGCCCCAAACGCGCGCGACGGGGTCGCCGTCGCGTCGACGCGACACGAACATACCGCACACGTCCGTGCTCCCACTCTTGCACAGAACAAAACGCCACAGACAACTTTTTGGCGCGCCGCGCGGATGTCTTGGATCCGCGCTGGACCCCCCTCCCTGGCGCGCGGAGCGCGCCGGGGGCGGTGCCGGAGGCGCCGCCAGGGGGGCCCAGTACGGATCCAAGAAGTCCGCGCGGATCCAAGAAGTCCGCGCGGCGCGCCAACAAGTTTTGTGTCTATGGCTCTTTCATCTGCGACGCTCGCAATCCCCCTCCACTTCTCGGAGCTCCGCGCAGATCGCCCGGATCCGCGACGGGCCCACACCAACCCGGGCGCGCGGAGCACGCCACGGGGCGGCGCCAGAGGCGCCGCCAGAGGGCTCCCGCGCGGATCCGAGAAATCCGCGCGGATCTCCGGAAACTCAGCGAGGGCGCCAACTGCTGTTGGGCATTGTACCCATTCTTTCCGTACCCATTTCGCTCGTGCCGAAAAACGGGGGGGGGGAGGGGGGGTTGCGAGGGCCCGCGCCGATCGGCAAAACGCGAATCAAAAACTATCACCTTGGGTTAGGGCGGGCCTGTCCCCCTAATTACAAGGGGATTTTCAATGGAACAGAGGTCCGCCTGGACCTCCGCGCGCTGGCGCAGCCTGCCGAACCAAACGACCGCCGAGAGATTGCGACGCATCCACCGGAGTGTTCGCTGCCTCTGATGGGCGCTCCGTCCCCCCCGTCCTCCCTGGTCCACACCCCCTTCCCCCCATCCGGCTCACGATCCTACTTATGTATGCTGGCGGACTGGTTGCAGGTCTTCGGCAGGTTCCGACTCCGGCTCTCATTTTCCCTCCGACTCCTGGTCCCTTCGGTGATCTTCTGACCCGGGTCAGTCCAGACCCGGGTCAGTCAGGCCTTGCAGAACCCTGCAAGATCCTGCACCCAAACCCGGGTCAATGCTAAGGATCCTGCAAGATCCTGCAGGATCCTGCACCCGAACCCGGGTCAATGCGACCCTGTCCCTGCAGGATCCTGCAAGATCGGGCGCTCTGGCTGACCCCCGTTTGCATTGACCCCCGTCTCAAGGCTCCCGATCCCTTCCCACCTCTCTGTCTCCGGCTCCGACTCCGACTCCGCCCGGCACGCGCGCCCTCGTCCAGCAAGTGCAGCCAGCGGGCCCCGGCCCACCCCGCGCTGCCCCCAAGGGGCCTGCTGGCCGACCGGCCGGCGGACTCGGCGCGCTCCTGTTCCTGCTCCTGTTCCCCTCCCTCAATGAACCCCTTTCCCTCGACGGCGCCCTGTCACGCTCTCCCTGCTCCTCCTGCGCCGCACATGCCTCGCCCACCGCCTCGACCGCAGTGCCGCTCTGCACGCGGTCACCTCCTCGAGCGAGGCGTGGCAAGAGAGGCGCGCTCCCGCTCGTCCATGTGAGACTGGCCTCGGCAAGTGTCATACTTGCAGGACGGCGGCAGTGAAAGCTGAATGATGATAAGATGGCCTGACCATGCGCATGTGCTTCTCACTGCGCCGGAGCAATAACAAGAGGTCGAGGCTATGTTGCATGCGCGTGGCAACAAACAACGCCTGCAACGTCAAATGACGTGCAACCTCTTGACAACAAACAAACAGGCTGGCAAAACTGAACCGTGCAGCCCTGAATATCTGTCAAGCCGTTCCACGAGCCAACATGAACAAAAAGACTGCGTCACGCTTCCCATCATACGCGACGCGACGCGCACAGACAGGCCTTCGACGTTGAGCCCGTGCACGTGGCAGGTGGCACTTTCCCTCAGTGCGTTTGCAATCTCCTGGCAAGTGAGTGCTGGGGGGGATGCGAAAAGAGGATGCTCATCCTCCCTCCTCCATCCTCCTCTCGGCCACCCGCCAGCGTGGCCCCAGGCAAGAGCGACCTCTGGTGCGCAGCTTTCGGGGGGGCGCGGGGGCGGGGGGGAATGCGCGAGCCCAAGCGCGCAAGCCGCTGCTGCGGCCAGAGCCAGGACAGAAGAACATCCAGCAACAAGAACACGAGAACCTCCACCTGCCGAGCCGAAGAGCACTCGAGGGTACCCCCCCCCCCAGGATGCACAAGAACATGCAGCAAACACGAAGAGCGCTGGTGTGCCCTCTCCGAACCGACCTCGATCTTCTACCCCGGTCCGACCGCATTGCACCGTCAGCGATGCCGGGGACCCTAGCGGGCCCGCTCTCAGGGGTCACCGAAAGGCCACCCTTACGCCCCTCTCCTCACTCCTCGTCTCCGCCTGGCCCCCAAACGATCCTCCATCCTTCGCCCAACTCGGAAACATGGCACGCAAGAAAAAAACGGCCGCAAATACATGTACAACAGCACATGTTGCCCGAAGTCTGCAGCGGCCGCTGTTGGGTACCCGCAGTGCTGACGGTCAGGTTCGGATTTGCAGCAGAATCCTGGTCAGTGCGCACAGCAGGAGAGGACCAGGGAGTGGCGGCATCGGCATCCTTTCGATCCCCTGAGGGGGGTAAAGGATGGAACATGAGCGTTAGTTTGAGGAGAGGGGGGGAACAGGAGGGGGGAGAAGGGGAGGAGGGGGAGGAGGAGGAAGATGAGAAGGATCAGGGAGGAAGAGAAGGAGAAGGAGGGGGAGAGGAGGAGGAGGAGGGAGAACAAGGAGAAGGGGGGGATGGACGCGGGGTAAAAGCGAGAGCCCTGTGGGGCGGGGGAGGTAGAAGAGCCTCCCAAGCGGCAGGCTAGGAACAGGGGAGAAGGCGGGGAGGCAGACGGGAAGGGCACGCGAAACGACAGGGGGCAGAGGACAAGAGGAGGAACACCGCGCGGGCGGCAGTTAACGCCACGCTATACATGTGTCAAGGTGTGGAGGTACGTCGCGTCGGACCCTCCTCCAGGGGCCGAATATATCCAGATCCAACGCCCGTGGAGGTCCGCGACGATCGTATTCCCAGGCGGTGGCTGTGGATAAATCCCGTCGCAGAGTCTATTCCGACCCAATCTAGGAGGCCTAGAGCGTTAGGTCGGGCATGTCCCCCTACAGGCACATTTTGGGCGAACCATATAACATTGCCAAAACATATTCACAAGTATAAAAGACGCTCAAAACATCTTCCCCAGACTACAGTGCGGGCGCGGCCGCAAGAAACCCAGAAACCCTGAGAACCCGTGCGAGAGAGATCCACCTGAGGGGAAACCCGGAGCACCCTGAACGAAGCAGCTCCTTCAACGGCCGCGGGAAGTCGCCGCGCAGCGCGCGGAGCGAAGAAACCCGAGGATACCCTGACGAAAAGTACATGGCTTCTTGATGCGCGCCCCTACTGTATTTTCAACACATGTTTGCATATTCTAGGGAGCCGAATTCTACACACCGACGCTTTTCCCGACCCTGCACTGAAATTCGCCCAGGAACGCGGATTCTGGTGTATACGGGATCCTGGTGTATACATGTTTCGTTGGTTCCCTTGGAAAACGGGGGAAAAGTGTACACCACACCAACCCGCCGCCGTCCCCGACCCTAAAAAAAAGTCGTGGGATGGAAAAAAACGCTCCGCCACTGATAGTGTACATGTTCCAGCTTGCGAACAAAAATGCTCCAGACAGCTTACCCAGACTATCTTAAACGTGTGTGTGCGCATTGTCCTCCTGCACAGGTTGGCGGAGGACAAACCTCCCTTTAGTAAACCTCCCTTTAATTAATGAATACGGCCTGGGACCGAAACACCGACGGACCCGGACCCGCGAAAACGACGGCCGCGACGCCCTCTCGCGAACCGAAAACGGCCAATTCCTTAATCGACGTGTCAGGGTAGGAGGTCTATCAACCTCCGATTCCGTGACTTCTGAGGACGCACTCCTTCTCACGACCCCCCCCCCTGGCGCGCCGCCGACTAGAGTCACCACCCCCCTCTTTGAAGGGGGGGCCCTGGGACACACAAATAAATACACACAAGTAAAAATATTCCCCACATGTTCCAATGTTTCCTGGATTTTTGTGTTCCCCCCTTCCCATATTTTCCCATATTTTCTCGGGAATCAACATGTCAGGGTAGGAGGTCTGTCCACCCCCGAATAGGGACGTGCCCGACGCAACGCCCGGAGCCTCGGGCCGAGCTGCCACTGGTTATGTATATGCTATGGAAAAACCCTCCGCCACTGGTTATGTATACGTTCCAGCTTGCGAACAAAAAATGCTCCAGACATCTTCCCCAGACTATCTTAAACATGTGTTTGCACACTCCTCCTGTGACCCGCACCGCCCTGGGGCCCTGCAACTGACGCCCAGGGATGGCGGTGACGCTGGTCGAATGGCGAGGGGCGACGGGGGCCCTCTGCAAGGCAGGTGCCCGGCGAGGAGCCATCGTCTGGATGCTGGGTGCGCCGGGGGCTCCGAGCGCGAGCCACTCAGCTGACGTAACGCCTGGAGCCTCGGGCCGAGAGCTGCCACTGGTTATGTATGCGTTCCAGCTTGCGAACAGAAACGCTCGAGACATCTTCCCCGGGCTATCTTAAACATGTGTTTGCGCGTTGTCCTCCCGCAGAGGGACGTGCCCGACGCAACGCCCGGAGCCTCGGGCCGAGCTGCCTCGCGGGCGCGGAGCCCCGCCGCGCCTCCCGCCCACGGCCGGCAGAGGGCGGCCCGCGGGCGGCGGCCTCTCCTCGTCGGGGGCGGCCTCTCCTATGCTGACGGAGCCGCGGCGCTTGCGCGCCTGGGCGGGGCGCGGCCGCTGCGGAGGGGCCCTGGGACGCGCAGATCAGTGCACAGAAAAAGCCTCCTCCTCCTCCCTTTCCTCCTCCTCCTCCTCCTCATCTCCTCCTCCTCCTCCCTCCTCCTCCTCCTCCTCCTCCTCCTCCCCCATTGCTCCCCCTCCTCTTGCTGCTCCTCTGCCTCCGTCTCCTCCTCCTGCTCCTCCTCATCCTCGTTTTCATCTTCGTCGTCTTCAGGGTCGGCGGCAGCGGCCGTAAGGCCTTCGCAATACACACAAATAACAGGATCCCCTACATTTTCCAATGTTTTCTGGGTTGTCTCGTCTTCACCCCCACTTCCCATATTTTCCCACATTTTCTGGGGAATCGACGATGACTTGTGTCTGTGTGTTTTTGTTCCCTCCTGAGCCGTGGATCTGGATGCCTGGAGGGACGCGAGCATCCCAGTCGAGGTTGGCTGAAGACTGGAAGGTTCCAAAAAAGGGTTTGCGGGGGAGGGGTGTTCCGAAGAGCCCCCGAGGGGCCTCCGGAACCGCGTCGAAGCAGGGGGTGCGAAGCCCCTGGGGGACCCCTCGTGGAGAACGCCCTCCCCCAAAACCACCCTTGGAACCCTCCGGGTAGAGGACGCGTGCGAGGACACGAGACCCTTCGGAGGGCCCCCGTGCCCTGGGAGTGCAGAAGGCATGGGCCGCGAAACACAGGACACGAGCGTGCCATCGGGGAAACCAAAAAGTCACCGATGCCGCTACTCCCCGGACCTCTCCCTGGGCCCGTTCTGACCAGGACTTCGGCGAGAATCCAGCGGTGGCAGCGAGGGCCTTCCAGGAGGCCCAAAAAGAGGAAAACGAGGCAAGGGTAGACGTATGGTACCTTTTTTCTTCCTCTGATTGATTTCGCAGGGTCGACCTACTAATCGGCCTCGACTGTATCGGCGGCGAGCCCTGGGGGGGAAGCGAGAAGGAGCGAAGGCATTCGAGGAGGTGCTTGGGTTAAGTCGGGCCTGTCCCTCTACAGGGGAAATATAACAAATATTAAAAAAATCGTCAGGGGACGATGTTGTAGTATGTTTTGGGGATCTTTTTGGGCATTTCCATTTTTTTGTACAAAATCCGTAGGAGGACAAGCCGACACACAAACGAATACACACAAATAAACAGATTCCCCATATTTTCCCATATTTTCTGGGTTTTTGTCTTCCCCCCCGCTTCCCATATTTTCCCTATTTTTTCTGGGGAGTCGACGATTCATTGTGTCTGTGAGTGTTTTTTCCTCTCCTGAAGGCCCAAACTAATGCTTGGGTCGGGTACGTCGCGAACGGCCTTCCGAGCAGCCTCTGCAGCCCTCGGCGCCCCCGGGGCCGCGGAGGCGCCGCACGTACTGCCTCCCGGGCTGCCGGACGCTTCGGGCCCTCGAGGCCCACTGGACTGCCCAAGAAAAAAGGAAAAGACTTTCTCGGAAGTCCCCCGGTCTTCTGAAGAGTCTTCTGGGCTGTCTCCGCACGCACACACACACACAAACAACAACAAAAAAAACTTCTCAGAAGGCCGCAGCAGGCCTCCTCAGAAGCCCCGCCGCCTTCTGAGAAGGCCTTTCCCTTCTCACGTCCCTCCCCCTCGATCGCCGCCGAGTCAGAAGGGGGGGGCGCTCGAATGTTCGAAGTTCGAGGTCCCCGGACGCTTTGGTTGGCCCCCGGCGGCTTTGCAGCCTGGGGATGCCTCCCAGCGGGTGCGCCTCGCCGAGACCGCTCCCGGGGGGCCCCAGGTCCTCCCGAACGGCCACCAGGGAGGCCGCCAGGGGACCGGCTCAGGGGGGGGGGGGGACATCGGCCTGGATAGGAAGGCACCAACTATACACCAACACCGATCCTGGCCAGGATCACCCTGGGCCCAGGATCGGTGTATACGCCCTCCTGCCTTGCGCAAGAAGGCATATACACCGATCCTGGGCCCAGGGTGATCCTGGGCCAGGATCGGTGTTGGTGTATAGTTGGTGCCCTCCGACTGGAATCGGCGATGCGTCCCCGACAAATCGGCGACAGGCCCCCGATGGCGGAACCAGGCCTTCCTTTCCTGGGCGGGGTGGGGCCGTCGAGAACACGAACCGACAATCTGAGATTTCCATGCCGAGAGGCCCCCCGAAGACCCCAAGGAACACCCCAGCGGCCCTCCCAAAAAAACCGAATGAGCCCCGAGAGGCCCCCAAGAGGCCCAAGAGAGGCCCCAAGGAGGCCCCCAACACGCCTCAAACCGGCTTCCACGAGGCTCCGCCAGGCACCCAAACAGCTCCCAAAACGCCGACAAGAAACCCCACGGAGTGCCCAATAATCCCGCAAAGCCTCAAACCATGTACTCCGCGCCTCTTCTGGGGGCCGGCGGAATGGCGTAAGCCTCTTGAATACACGTTCGGAGGTGACGTGCTGAGCGGCAGCGTTTTTTTCGGCGCATGCCTTAATGCAAGGTATCCATTGTATCCGATAGTTGTACAATTGTTACATATTGTACTGTGATATGTTTTATGTATCCCCCTAACCCCCACTTAGGGTCGCGCCATCCCGCCGATCCAAAGTGTACCCCCCCATCTCGTGCTCTGAAAACCTTGTTGAAAAAACATATCTGACATCGACGATTTGGGCATCTTGGGCCTCTTGGAAGCTAGAGACTGCTGCAAAAGTGACCAGGATGGCCTCGGGGCCGTCCAAGACAGCCCTAAAACAACCCAAGATGGCCCATCCAGGGCTCATGAGGCACTCCAGACAGCCGAAGAGGGCCCCGAGAGCACCCACAACAGCGCCTCCAGAGACCAAGCTCATTGATTTCCATCGGTCTTTGGCGGATTGTACCGTTCTCGCCTGCTTCGACTCTCAAAAGCCGATAACGGCCAACGCAGCGGCCAAAATTGCCCCAAGAAGGCCCAATAACCCTCCAGAAAAGGCCCGAGACAGCCCCGGACCAACCGCAAACGGCCCCCAACACGGTCCAGGAGGCCGCCAAGACGGCCCCAGAGGACAAGGCGGCGCGAAGAAACCCAAAGACGGCCTCCGGAGGTGTCAGACGGGCTCCAAGCCCGCCAAGGCGGCCCCCAAACGGACCGACATGGCCCCGCGAGGCCCTACAGAACCCCCGAGAAACCTCCCAGGGGCCAAGAGTTCCCCAAGAACGCTCCCTGAGGTGCGCGCAAATACCCTTGCGCATCGTGCGGGAACCTTCATCAAACAGCTCCGCAAGCTGGTCCTCCGTGCATGTGCGACGCTTGTACAGTCGGATCTGGGAGGGGGGAGGAGGAGGGAGGAGGAGGAGGAGGAGGAGGAGGAGGAGGAGGAGGAGGAGCAGGAGGAGGAGGAGGAGGAGGAGGAGGAGGATCTGGGGCAGAGCGTTGCAATTCTGCACCCAGCTCGACGCACGCGGCGAGGTCCAGCGCACCTCCTCCTCTCGGGTACTTCACTTCGCGGCAGAGCTGGGCACAGGCGTGGCCCCCGAGACGGCTCTCGAAGGACCCCTGCAGCCCCAGCGCGCCCGAAAACTGCCGGAGGCTCCCCCAGAAGTCAGGCAGGTCTCGTGAAGCCGATGCCCACAAGAAACGCCGAACATCCTCCAAAACGAGCCAGACGCCCGCGCTCTCCGCAAATCCGGACGTGCACCCCGTGAAGCGAAAGGAATCCGCCCGCCCACCCGGCCGAGGGGCGTGTGGGACCTAACTGCGCGAGCTTCTTGCAGCGCTTTAGTAGCCCCCTTGATCCCCCCCGGAGGGCTTCGCCACTCCGCCGCCCGGCTGCGCCCAGGCCCCTCTTTGGTCCCCTGAGACGCCTCCAAGACGGCTTCCACGACGAGCTCGAGGTTCGGATCGTTCCAAGGACGCCATCTGGGCGCACTTTGGCTGCATTTCGAACCCGTCGGGGCCCCTTCATTTCGAACTCGTCTTGAATATCTATTTGATCAGCGGCGAGCTGGATCTGGCAGGCGGTCAGCTATCGGCGGGACGCGTCGGAAGCGAACTGGGCACAATGGAAGCAGAAGGCAGGAGGGGCAGAAGGGGAAAGGCCACAAGACGGCCGCGAGCGCGTACAAACCCTCGTGCACACAGAGCTGACGACCAAGCTTAGGCGGCGAGCGAGTGGTGGGAATGAGAAAGAGGAGGCATTCTCAGAAGGCGGCGGGACTTCTCAGAAGCCCTCTGGTCTCCTGAAAGCTGGGTAGTCGAAGCCAATCTGGCGCCAATCTGGCAGGCCCAATCTGGCAAACGGGGGCAATCTGACGAGGGAGCCAACGCGAATCCAGTCTGGCGAATAACCCAATCCTCCAGTTTGGTCGGGCCAGATTGGCCCTTGGGGCCCAATCCAATCTGACAGTCTGGCCTTCGACTACCCAGGAAAGGCTTTCTGGGTCTTCGGGGGAGGCTCAGAAAACTTCTCAGGAGACGGTGCGGACTTCCGAGCCGTCTGAGAAGGCCTGCCCCTCCTCAACTCCCCCCGTCACTCGCCGCCGAAAGCTGGCCGAGGTCAGGGCTGAACCTAAACGGTGTGTTTCGTTTTCGTTTTGTTTTCGCTTTCCCTCGTTTCGCCTTCAATCCGCCTCTAACGCAAAACGACATCGAAACGAAAACGGCCCACGCAATCGCCAAAAAACACTGCGTACGTCCACCCCTGGCCGAGGTGTGCCCAGGCCCGGCCACGACACGCACGCGCACTCTCCCAGTCGAACGCGCAGTCCTCGGTCCCTGGCTCTGGAAGCGGGAGTTCGCGGAGCGGCGGGACCCGCGCCCGAAGCGGAGGCCACGAACCCGGAACACGCTCGGTGTGATGCAGTCCTCAGACGTCTGGAGGTCGGAACGGGGTGCGGCAGAAAGGGGTTTGGTGCCAATGATGCAAATGGCGCTGCCGTCTGCGACAAATGGCATCGCCAACGTCCCCTCCACCTGAAATCTTGACACCACACCCCTTTTATACCATACCCCCTTTTCCTGCCTCCAGAAGACGAAGCCAGGACGAGGACGAAAGCGGACCCGGACAAATCGAGGGATCTCCGAGACCCGGCTGTTCTGGAGGAGCAGTGTCGGGCGCCGCGGCCGTCCCCGAGCGCTCCCGAACGCTCTGGAACGATGCCCCCCAGCCCTGGGCCCGCCGATCCGCTATCCTCAGGTCGGGCATGTCCTCCCACAGGGGGATCTCGGACGAGAAGTAACACATACTCCAAACATGCTTTTGAAATCATCAAATCAAGAAATCGTCCCAATACTATGTTTTGCCCAATGTTTGCAGATTCCTCCCGTAGAGGGACAGGCCCGACTTAGCGCTGTCCTTTGTCTTTCCGGCAGCTCTGGGAGGGGAATCGGAGGCGCCGCTGGGTTTCTGGGCTAGCCTTGTGGATGCCACGACAATGGACACCCTGACAGTCCTATCATTGAATTTAAACTGTGTTTAAAATGTAGGGAAATGTTCTAAACATGTCTTAAACATGTTTTACACGCTTAAGACATGCCTAACCCATGTTTCAGACATGTGGAAATGATTCGGCAACGTGCTTCCTCTCCACTGATCGTCCTCCACAAGGCTGGCCCACCTCAGCTCCTGCAGCCCGCCAGTGCCGCCTCAGACACGCCGCCCGTCGCGGACCCCGAAGGCAGAGAGCACGGATTCCAGGCTCGAGCCCGGTGGGCTGGAGAGGCACTCTGGCGGGGCGGTGGGTCCCCGCCCGAGAGGCTGCGGAGGGAGGCCCCGCCCAGAATCGAAACGATACGACGGATCGGCGATCGAGATGAGTCGGATCGGCGGAAATCGGCAACCGAGTCGGGAAACGTCGAATCGACGGAAATTGGCAGGCTAGTAGGCCTGCGTTGAGAGATCGGAGCCCAAATCGGACTCCAGAGCCCGAATCGAATCGGAATCGGAAGCCACCGAAGTCGAATCGAATCGGATCGGAGGCATCAGCACGAGCCCTGAGGAGGGGCTGCCGTGGCGTTTGGCGTCCCTGGGGCCTGCCTGCACGCGTGCACGCAAGCACGCTGCCAGCGTGCCGCAAGCCCCGAGTGCCCCGCGAAAGAGCCTGCATATAAACGCGGAGAGAGACGCACGGCCTGCATTTTGCTCTGCTTCTCGATCAGCTCAACCTTCGCCTCCTCCGACAGCTCGAAGTCTCCCCGCCTTCGCACATCACAAGATGGCCCATGTAGAAAGAAGCACACGCACACGTATTATATAGACAGAGAGAGGGAGCGAGAGCGAGAAGAAACGCACAACAGAAAAAGAGAGAAAGAGAGAGGAACCGACACTGGATACAAACACCGAATACATACATACATACATACATACATACATACATACATACATACATACATACAGACAGACAGACAGACATACATACATACATACATACATACATACATACAGACAGACATACATACATATACACAAGGCTGCGTTGGCGCTGCGCGCCATGCACCTTGGTCCTGAGTTTCGCACGCAAGCGGGGTGCATGCGTGCGTACATGCGCGCATGCATGTATAGACGCGCGCGCGTGCACGCTCTGCAAACATATCTATGTGTATACCACACATGTATACTGTGTTGTGTACGTGTAAACAAATTACATATGAACATGTGTATGTATATGTATCTGTCAATCGCAGGTGTTTATTGGTGCACGCACCTCTATGTAATTATGGGTACACATACACATGCGTATCTCAGGCGGTAATGGCCTGACCGCCTGCTGAGGGCATCTCGCATCTCAGAGGTGCGAGGGTCTCAGGCGAAAATAACCAGACTACTACGGGGCAATGCATCTCCGATGTCAGCGTTGCGAGGATGCTTCAAGCGAGAGTGAACTGACCACCTCAGCTGAGGTCATACCCGAACCCAGAATTGCGAGGATGTCTCAAACGAAAATGGCCTGAACACCTCAGCTCAGGGCATCCCTGAACCCAAACTTGCGAGGATGTCTCAGATGAAAGTGGCGGACTACTCTGCGGCAGGGCATCTCGGAATCCAGAATTGCGAGGATGTTTCTAGCGAAAATGGCCGGAACACCTCAGCTCAAGGAACCCCAGAACCCAAAGTTGCGAGAAGGTCTCAAGCGGAAGTGGCCGGACAACCTTGGGGCAGGGCTTCTCTGGGGTCAGAGTTGCGAGGATGGCTCAGCCGACAGTGGGAAGGAGGAAGGCGAAAGGAAAGAGTAATGGGAGGAGTCCCGCGGACCCGAAGACAGGCAGACACGAATGCTCAGGATCGGAAATCATGGCAGGGAGGCTGGAACTGACGCGGATGCAAGACGCTGGGAGCAGGCCTCCGAGAGCGTTGAAAGACAGGAGGACCTGATAGGGACTCAACGACGGGCGCCGCCAGAACCTTTGGGAAAAATATTGAGGCCTTGTGAACGTGTCGGAGTGCTACGTGTCTGATTGCTATGCGGCAAGGCGTATCCGAGGTTGACGTTGCGAGGATGTCTCAGGCGAAACTGGCCCGAGCGGGCATCTCCGAAGTCAGCTGCGAGAGGGAATCTCAAGCGAAGAGTGGTCTGAACACCTCAGGCCAGAAGGTCGAATAACTCCCTTGCAAGAGCGTCCGAGCAGCCCCCGGGGAGCTTCCCAGCAGGTCGAGCAGCCCGGGAAAGGGTTTCCCAGCAGCCCGGCGAGTCCGAAATGCGTTCGGGGGGGATGTGTATGCACATGTGAATCTATTTTGCGTACGTATGCATGTGCATGTGTATGTATGTATGCATGCATGCATGCATGCATGCATGCATGTATGTGTGTATGCATGTATGTATGTACGTACGTATGTATATCAAATTACAACGCCTTGGGGGCCCTTTTGGGCCGTTTTGGGACTCTCTTGGGCCGTTTTGGGGCCCCTTCGGGCCGTCTTGGGGCGTCTTGGAGGCCTGCGGCCGCCTTCGGGCTGTCCTCTTGGGGCGCTCTTGGGAGCCTCTCGGGGTGCTCCTGAAGCTCTCTTGGGGCCGTCTTGGGGCTCCCTTGGTAATTTTCGGGCCCTCTTGGGCCGTCTAGGGGCCCTGTTGGGCCGTTTTCGAGCCCTTTGGGGGGCCTCTGGGGCCGTGTTGGGACGATCATTGGAGCCTCTTGGGCCGTCTTGGGCCATTCTTATCCCAAAAAATCAATTATGTTTGCCTCTTCGGGCCTCTTGGGAAGCCTCTTGGAGGCCTCTTGTGGCGTTTGGAAACCATGTTGAAGGTTTTGGTGCGCATTGGAACTATCGACGAGCTGTCTTGGGCAATATTGGAGGCCTCTTTGGACCTTCCGAAAAGGCTGGAAGGCCGAAAGAACCCTTTGCAAGGGCGTCCGAGCAGCCCGGGGGGGGGGGTCAAGCAGCCCGGGGAGTCCGAAATTCGTTCGGTGGTGGGGGGGGGCGTTTTTTCCAAGGTCCCCGGCCCTATAAAACCATATAATAGGAATATATACATACACACCACAATATCCTAGTACCATATTCACCGCAATGCTTGTGTACACGACAGAGCCTGCGTGCACAATTGCGCTCGCGTGCAGCGCAATGCCCGCGAAGAAAAAACAACCAAATGCACCGCAGCACTTGTGTACATCACCGCGCCTGCGTGCACCACATTATCTGTGTGAGTTCGCCCTGCGTGCACCCCGATGCCCGCGTGCACCACGACGTTTCTGTACACCACATGTTGCCGCAGCAGCAGCAGCAGCGGCAACAATCGTTTGCCCCACGAGACCCACGCCAGCTGGCGGAGCACGTGCAGAAGGAACGAAACATGCTAGCGAACGCAGGGCAAACAGCCGTGATACATACTGCACGCACTGTCACGCCTGGTGGCGAAACAGAAGCATGACGGAAGAATGAGGGAACGCAGCCCTGATATTGAATGCATGCGCTGTTGTGGCAGCAGAAAGACCGGATACATGTCCCAGTAGAGCCACAAGGCGCGTTACAGTGCATAATGACCACAACCCCTGGACTGCACCTGCGAAAAACTAGCAGGATTCGCACACTCGTCAAAATTCCTCTTAAATTCAGCACTCGAGTGGAAACAGCATCCGTGGCACACTCGCGGTTGTCACTGTGCTCGATACCCCCACGAGTACGCAAAGGATTGAAAACTATACATGCGCCAGGTCACCGGCTCTCTCTGCCTGGCCGGCTAGCCGAGGAAGAGCAGGAAACGGGAGGCAAGATGGAACGGGAGAAAGGAGAGGATGAGGAACCGACACCTCCTTCGCCACCACAGACCACGGACGCCGCCAGGCCAGGATCTCGGAACTCTTCCCAGGTGACCAGGGCTGATCGGGACTCTAGCTGTCTCCTCGACGCGGATTGCGATATTCCCTTGAGCTCTGGCTCGTTCCTCCTCCCCTGCACCTCTGACCTCTCGTCAATCAAGACAATCTTGCCGTGAGCCATCAGTTCAAATAGGGCTGCATTACACTTCGTTATATCATCCTGTGTGAGAGCGTCCACTGGCACTCGACTGCGCGGAATCAAACGGACTCGTCCCTGGGCTCGTCCCATGGACCCACAGATGATGGCTAGGTCTAGAGCTGTTCTCCGGTCTTTGGCCGAAACGTTGCCCTCCTTTTGCATGGTGTCGTAGATCGACTTGGCGTCCACTACATGGACCTGGTTCTCACGACCGCCGAGACTACAGTCACGGCGCTGAACTGTCGAAAACGGACGGGCGGCACGACGACATCCGGGAACTTCCACATCACGAAACATCACGTCCCGATACAGCACGTGGAAGTATTCCACCTCGGCCACAGTAGCGGGGAGCGCCTGTGTCTGTCCGGCCAATGTAGATGGCACCTTACGCCGTAGTTTTTCGCTCCTCCATCCCAAGAGTGAGGCCTTCACTGAACTGCTGGTCATCACCGACTTGTCGGCCGCGAGTATCTACCAGGCTCCCTGGGATGGATCTACGGGCGTGCCCCTCTCGTCATCCATGCTCATGTCGGCACCAAGCCCCCCAACATCGGAGAAAGAAATGAAGGCGACACGCTTTGGGTCGATCTCCAAATGGTGCGGCCACGAGAGGCCGTAGGCCGGAGATGCTTCACCAAACGTTTGGCGCACGCTACATCCTTGATCCGAGGGGCGGCCAACCGACTGGCAAGGATGCTGGCGACACCGGCCGCGTCGGGTCTGCTCTCTCGTCCTACCCAATTGAATTAGTATACCTACGATCCAAGGGCCTTGACCTCGTCGGTGTCCAGCGGCGCCTGTGTCCAAGGCGACCCTTGGCCAGAGTCAGCGGTCGGATCTCTTCTCATGTATATTTTTCCTGGTCCACCACCGCCTTGCCAGGCCCGAACGTGAATCTTCCCGGGGCGAAGTCGAGACTTCCGGTATGGCAGTCTTTGCACCTCCAAAACTTCAACCTGGTCTCCAGGGTGGTCCGGAGCCACTTGCGGTCCTGGTCGCTGGAGCCGACGATCAGAAAATCGTCGACCTCCAACCGCATCATGTTCCTGACTTCGACGTTGGATCCATAGCGAATTCACCAGCAAGGTTCGCGCAAACACTTCACGAACCCGTGCTGGCTCAGGAAAAATGACCAGTCCCCCTCCGGGCGACTGGGGCATCATCCAAACCATGGACGTCAACCAAGAGCCCGATCAGACTCCCAGGTTCCAGCTCGAGTCCTTCGCAGGGCTCCACATAGATCTCATCTTGAGCGGGGCGCACAGGATCTGACTGGCAAAACGTGATTTTGACGTCGGTGATATCCCCGAGCGTACCCAAGCACATGGGAATCTGCAGAAGCAGCATGATCGAGGAGGCCTGGGGGGTGGGAGCGTAGACGGCCAAGGCTCCAGAGTCGGGATCCCGATGCCCATGGACGCACCAACGACTTTTGGCGTCGGGTTCCGCAAACTTAACTTCCACCGGCTTCCACCTTCGGACCATTCTACTGGAGATGATCCTCTCCGGGAGCTCCCGGCGAATGACGCGAGCCTTGCCAGGGGGGTGACGTCTACGGCTCCCGACTGCTCAATAGTCTTCCACTCCTTTCGGTCCGACAGAACAAACTTTTCCCTCTCGGCGGGAATCATCTTCTTGAGGTTCATCTCGCCGCCCTGGCTCGCGGCGAAAGTGCCCCCGTTTTCGGCCCCCTCCGGGGCCCCATCTCTCGTCGAGCCCCAGCTGCTCTCAGAGCCGACGGCCTCGGT